AAATTTCTGGAAGCTTGGAGGAATTATTTTCCCTGGACAGGGACACACGAACAACGCATGCAGAGTCAGTGTTTGTTCGCCCAAGAATTGCCACCAAGGCCTGTGGCTGTATGCTGGTTGTTGACGGGCCCAGTACTGCGAGCCATTCACAAGACTCCCGAGGACACGCGATGGGACAGAGCTCCGTCGTCACACGTCGTCGCAGGTCGTCACGTGTGTCGACATATGCCGCGTTTGGAGCGCCGGGGCCGGTGGAGTGCGTATTCTACCCGCATAAAGCCGATGACAGGGGACTGAGGAAAAGATAGGAAACGCCTCTCCCACCGGAAGTTCTTTGGACTGTCTTTCACCTTTCCAGGCCTCTTGGAGAATGGAACCAATCACGGCTCACGGCTCGCAGAGAATCGCTCATCCTGTGTCAGTGGCAATTCTTGGGCACTATGGCAACACACACAGATCCAGCTTGGAAGTTGTTTTGGTTTCTGTGGGATCGCCATTGCTACAATCGAATTCCAGCCAAATAGAAGTGAAAAAAGGGTCGTGAGGGATGCCATCAGTGAATTAGGCCGAGAAGTCTAGGAGATTTTCGAACGAAAGAAGTGACATGTGAGCTGAGCACCATGGATATGAGGTGAGCTGAGCTGCGCCATATGAGCCACAGGATATGTTTGAAAACCCTAGGACTCTGACTACTTAATAAGTAAATCTTGTAGCATGAGCACATATGAGCACGGTGTTTGCGGCTCACTGGTCATCTAATGTTGTTTCCCTGTCGAGACAGCTGATGGGCTTTACAGTATCAGCTGCCCCCAAGTGGTTTCAACATGTGGGTCTCTCAATGTCCTTTGATCTTTGGCCGTTTGGCATGATATGGCATGATCCAATCACCTGACATCCTAAATATCCCTAAATAATAAGATCCAAAAACATCTATGTCAGACAGTTCGCAGCTCCAGGCTGTTCCTTTCCCGTCGGAGTTATCCTAAGCACGTCCTCTCCATCTTCGCGCTCTCGTCCAGGAAGTCGCCGATGCGAGCTACTACGCGCTGGTGCTGGCCATTTGCTTGCCCGTTCGTATCGGCCCCTTGGAGCACCGACGGGTACAACGGCGCGGTGGGTTGGCCCGTTAGAGGCGCCCTTCTGGGGAGTCCACTGGCGCATGTGGAGACGTTTGATTTTCTTTGATACAACAATTGCGTTCTTCATGTCACTGTCAAGCATCTTTGTATGGGAGGGTTCTTCTGGAACTGCACATTGTTACGATGCTCTGGGCGGGGCCGGATTTCAGCACAGGCGATGATTTCAGCGGTTACGCTCTTGAAAGCTGGTATCAATCCCAGAATTGAGTCAATTGACCTTTGGATGTGACCTAAGGAAGGAGTGGTGTCGTTGAATGATGGTCCAAGCGTGTTTGAAGTGGTTTGTGGTCCGTTTATTTCACACTCCTTACTTCTACATGCTCCCGCCGGGTATGACCTTCCAGGGTCCTGGTTTAGCCATCTGGCAGAGGTGGGTCGGCTTCCACTGAGGTTTCTCGCAGTTGAATTGCTTTTTCAATGCGCAGAAGATTATGCGACCATCGGTCAGCTGGGAGCAGTTACGGGTTTTGTGCAAGTTTATGTTGGCACTGGAAGACGTGTTTGACCACAACAACAAGGGAGTGGCGTGGAGTGATAAACTGTTTTCTTCAATCGAACAAGAGGTGTTCCACTGATTGGATGAGCCAAAAGTCACTTCCGATGAGTAAGTGTAAGAGTCTGGAAACCAATGTGCTTGACCAGGGTAGGGATATGTGGGGATAGAATTCAATTATTCTCAAATTGACAGCTTGTGCCAGAGCGGGCTGGTATCGAGCCTCCACTTTGGTCATACTTCTGCATGAAGCTGCTGCAAACAGCGCTCTTAGCGGGAGGATATGAATATTAGATTATTAAGGAGACAGAGAGAGCTAGCTTTTGCGTTGGTATCAAGAGGGTCAGAATGAGGATCACGGAAGTGATAGGGTCGAATGGAAATGGACGAGGCCAATCATGATGAGAGCTGATTTGAAGATTGTTGGTGTTGGCGCCCAAATTTGATACTTTTATATCCCGTTAGGAGGGGATGATATTCTCGCAGATGCTTTTGTCTCAAAGTATGGCTATGCCGCAGCCCGGTAACTGTCGAGCCCAACAGCACAAAGAAGTCAATAAAAAACATCCAAGGAAGAATGAACCAACTGGAATACCCATGGCCATATTCCAGTATGTCCGGCCATGTTCACACGTGGTTTGCATTGGTTGTGTTTGGTGAGTCTTACAGATGTGACAAAGTGTGTCTCATCTCAACACCTGCATTTACTTTCCAACTCGATGCCTTCTTCCCCTTTGTGTAAGTGCCCTGGCATCCATCCACCCATCGACATGACATGTAAAACGCCTTACTCTCCATGTCGATTGCTTGCCAGGTCGTGTGTTCCACGATCGGCATGCTCTTGAACCTGGTGGGAAACCTCATCTTGGTCTTAGGCACCTGCTTATATAATCGGGTGCGATGCGTTGCGCTGCGTCCGGAAAGCGGATGGTTCAGCGTTGCAGTGGAGGCCGTCACCTGACGATGTTGCAGATGAAACAACAGGGGTGACTGAGTTTGGGCTGTAGTGATGTTGCAGATCTCTAAAGTGTCTAAAGGATGGGACAAATGGTCAATTCGACAGCGTCAGATGTGCTAAATGTAGGTTTGGCATGGTTTGATTTCTGATCATTCAACATTCAAGAGCACACCCACAGCTTTCACACACTTGATTGATTCAACTCATATCTTTGGCAAGGCCTGACCGTCCCCAACTGGACCGGCTTCGGCTTTCCTGCTTGCCCGTGGGCCCGGGCCCTGTAGAGAAAGAGAACAAGGGACAGTGTGTGTTTGGTGACCTGTCCTTGTTTGTTGTGTCCATGAAGTTTCAATAAGTTTCATTGCTTCTCTATCCCAAGGCTTTATGAAAGCCGAGTGGAAAGAGACGTGGAACTATCGCTAATTTGCTGTAAGTTTTCCTATGCCACATAGCCATACATAGCCATTGTTTGAGCATCTTCGAGGTTCCAGGAAGGGCGGTGGACGGGACTTTTTGCATGGCAAAAGTGCGGCAAAACCGTCTTCCAATCTGTGGCGTTTGGGCGTTCCACCGGAGGAGAGACGGTTTTAAGCGTACCGGTATATATGACTTCTATTATATGACAGAGTCTTCAAGAAGTGACCCCGTCATCACCGTCGTTGGACCCGTTGGCCACCTGCCGGCCACCGTCTGATTCTGCCATGAACGTCCGAATGGTTGGCGTCTGATTCTGCCACGGTGACTGCCAAGCAGTCCAAATGATGATCAACCTTTCACAACCTTGATGCATTGAAGTATACCATGTGTTTTTCAATGGATCCGTCGCGGGCATCGGGTCTGTCCGGGGTACAGGGTCCGCATGGGTCCGCGATACCGTGATGGGTGCAACTTCTAGATACCGTGATCCATTGCCTTTGGCACCCCCTGCCATTTGGGTTGATGCCGTAGTTGGGTCGGCCTTCCGTTTTTTTCAAGGTCACGACGACCGTGGAGTTCCTTCAGCTCTTTATTCTTTGGTGTGCCCGGCGGCCGTCTTGAGAAGGAACACCATTTGGTCACTTGGTTGTTTTTTGCTTAGCTGGGTGGTTTAAGATGGTTTAAGCAAGAATGCGAGGCCCCATGTTTGGAAGAATCTGAACCCAGCCAACCTGACTTGTTGCCGGGATTGCCTCATTTTGGAGTGCAAGACTTTATACCACAGCGTGCCACCACGCTTGGGTTGATACTTGGTGCATATGTCCACTTGTTGATCCTGGTCGCGTTCTGGGCCGTCGTCCATGGTCTAATCGAACTGGACTGAATCCTGTTACTGTGTTCCTTTGGGACCACACTGTGCGACAAGTAGGAATCTTCCGGGATTCACAGCGGCAACGGATTCGTTGTGCCAGGTTCATCTATTGTCGCACCTTGCGCTTGCACAGCGAATGTTGGCCTGGATGGTCATGGGACTGGCCAGCGCGGTCGTGGCGGTGGCGGTCGTTTGTTTGAGATTGGTCATAGAGATGGGTTTGTCAATTTGTTCTCTTGCCCAAAAGAGTTTGCAACAAACCATACGTTGAGTTTCTCTTTAAGGGGTCATCAGGAGAAAGGAACTGCTATGAAACATGTGGATAACAAATGTGTCAATCTCTATCTTTCACTTCTTCCCTGAGTTGTCTCGGACATTGGATTGCAGAGGCTGTTTTGCTTCTCCAACTGTGCAGGAGAATATTACCAGAGATCGTGTTGTCCAGTATGTGCAGCTTGGCCCATAGGGGGAGCCTGTTCCGAATGCCGAGCTGTGGGTTGATGATCTGGGGGTTCCTTCCAGATTCGAAAAGCAACCACAGCAAGCCTGAGCCTCTCTAATTACTCCATAGCAAGAAATCAGTTGCTACATTGTTGCTACCATATTTGCCAGCTTTTCGAGGGAAGATCAAGTCCAAGATAGCTTCAAGATCCCCAACGCGGTCGGCCACAGAACTCCTTCGCCTTCAACACACCGCATTCCGTGGCCGAACCTCCGAACTGGCTCTCCGGACGTCGAACTCGGGACCCCGCTCTTCGGACCCGGAGCCCCGCGACGGTTCCGCTGGGGTGAGGAAGATGTATCTCCCAGCAGCTTTATCCATTGGCTCCGACTTTTGGCGACGCTCAGCCGCAGAATTCAGTGAAGAAGTGACGGAAGTGGATGGTCAGACGTCGCGTGAGTGGCTGCGTGAGGACTTAGGACCCTTGTTGTTGTTGTGGTGGTTGTTGGTTGTTGGTTGTTGGTTGTTGTTTGCAATTATGTTGTTTGTTGTTTGTTGTGTTTTCTTTGTTGTTTGTTGTTTGTTGTTTGTTGTTTGTTGTTTGTTGTTTGTTGTT